AGGGCCCAATGTCAGATGTGTCGCGCTCCTGCCAAAGCAGTAGCACATTCGAAAATCGGCCAAGCATATTCCGTTCCTTGAGATCAATACTACACTTAGGGACACATTCCAGAGAATTCTATTGTGGTTTCCTGCTTCCATAAATGTCAGATCACATCACAAGTTGCAAGGTATATATATATATATATATAACTTCAATTTGTCAGCCATGCAGGTGATGAAATGATTACCTTGAGCAGCTCGTATCACAGCTTCCAAAGACTGGAGGAGAACTGCAAGATTTCGCCGCAACATGTGGTGAAAAGGCGTTTGATGGTGCCCTGAGGATCGATAAGACCTACCTTGGAAAGGGAGTTTGCCCTGCAGCCATTTTTCGATGGTGATGCCATCGAGAAATTTAGGTGATGTCTTTGTAGATCCAAGCAGAGGGCATTCGCTAGCGGATGTAACCCTCGGGAGGTGGCAGAAATCTTCCGTAAAGATTTGGGAGAGAATAAGATAATGAATATAGGAAACATGTCCTGCAAGGAAATATATTCATTATCTTATAATATCTTATATATTCATTTTACATATATATATATAATATATTCATTAGCTTATAAATATAGACAAATGATACTGAAAGTGAAATTTCAAGGCTCTAAGCCCAATATGGTCAATCTCCAGTAAAAGTCCATCCCATGTCGCGAAAAAAAAGCAACCCCACAAACGACAGCCATTTCTTTCGCTGAAGCGTTGCCATTTCAAGCGGGACCGTCGACCGAAAACAAGGAACTTGAAGAGACGCAACACTTATTCAATCAAACGTGGCAGTGGAAAATTCCCCATAAATGGCCATATAAATGGGAGAATAATCTATATACAACGTGTTTGACAAAAAAGAGATATATCTTTCGGAAGGTTTTCCATCGTTCTAGTTTAGTGATTGTTTTAGGACTTTTTGTTGGAATGTTTTAGAACGTGTTAGGCTTAGAGAAACTCACCATCTTCAGCCCCTCCAGCTTCAGAGTTTGTAACGCATTGACCGAGTCGATTTTTTCAGATGTGACCTGATGGCGCAAGAGAGGTCCGGCGCCTCTGTTGATGGGATCCAATCCCGAAAAAAATAAACATTATTTAATCATATTCAGATTCAGTTCAATCCATATATTGATCCATCAGATCTATATTTGATACATGTCGATGACGATGATTTTTTTTGATATGTGTTTTTTCTAAATATAATAAAACTGTCCATTTTGATCCATTCTTATCCATGGTGATCCTGTTTTTTTTTGGTACCTCCATGTTGACCCGTTTCCGATCCATTGAGGTCGATGTCTGAAGGTGACGAGGAGCCTATGCCCATTTCCAGACACACGGGGCTGTGTGTCATTTGGGCTGATCTACCCAGATCCTCATGATGTTTGTTACATCACCAACGTTGTTTGGTTCCTTTAGTTCCACTTCGATGGTTGAATATGCGTATATGATATAGAAAACATTAGAAAACTAGAGTATTTTGTTGACAGGTCACCTATGTCTCTATATGTGTATATGATTATATCAATATAACATCATATAACATCATATATCACAACATACAGTAAATGGACAAAAAAACAAACCCTACAGACATCTACCAAGTAAACCCCCACACCCCAAATCGCAATGTTGAACAAACTCTACATGGCTTCCTTTGCGTTCAGGATTTATTTTTTGTCCACCGCGCCCAAGCGCGCAGCCCAAAGACAACATTGAAATTTGGGGGTGTTTGATTTCATCGTCCATCTACGGTGTGTATCTTATTAAATACGTATTTATTTACCCATTTATATTAAAAAAAATACAATTATATACATATAATTATCGAAGGAGGTTTAGAAGTCAAACTTCCTACAATGTGGGCAGATGGAAAAGCAAAATGGAAAAGCAGAGGTGAAGAGAAGAGGAGAAAGAGTCAGAAGAAAGAAGATGCAGGTGCGCGAAAAGGTAGCAAAGTCGCGAAACATTGCGTTTTCTTTTCCAATGTTTTGGGGCTCAGGAGGGTCGAAAAGTAGGCTCGCTAAAGCGGCGGGTGCGGCGCCATCTGGGCAGATGAGAGATGAAAAATTCCACGCCGCTGTGGCGCGAAGCAGATTCGGAAGTCAAAAACACCACAGATTCGGAGCACTTTTGGAAGTTGAGATGTTGAAAAAGTAGAGGCCCTTGTGGCGCGAAGCACATTTCGAAGTCAAAAGTGTTAAAAACTGAGGGGGTTCGGAGCACTTTTGGAAGTTGAGCTGTTGAAAAAGTGTCCGCCGTTGTGGCGCAAAGCACCTTTCGAAGTCAAAATGTACAAAACACACCAGTGTTGGAGCACTTTTGGAAGTTGAGATTGAGATGTTGAAAAAGTGCACGCCACTCTGGCGGGAAGCACATTTCGAAGTGAACATGCTAAAAACACATGTTCGCACCACCTTTGGACGTTGAAGCGTCGTTTTGTGTGGCAGGCGCAAGGGATTCTGCACCCTGCCAAAAGTGAGCAAAATTTGAGGTTTTGTAGCAGTTTCAATCACGCTGGCATGCATGTGACTTTTGAAGAGGATCTGCAAAGATGCATTTCGCGTGGCAGGCGCAGTACAAGAGACATGTTCATCAGAGATGTTAGGAGGTCAGCGCGCTGATATCCTGAGAGGGGTTGCAGTTTGGAACATCAGATCTTCAGGTTTGCTGAGATGATTTTGCGTGACAGGTGCAGCACTTCCTATGATAGATAAACAGGTAGAGAGATAGATATGGATAGACAGATAAATGGAAAGACAGATGGACCGATAGATAGATTAGATAGTCAGATCGATAGATTAGAAGGATAGATGGATGGATGGATGGATAGATAGATAGATAGATAGATATGTAGATAGATAGATAGGTAGGCAGGTAGATAGATAGACAGATAGATAGATAGATAGGTGCATAGATAGATAGATCGATCGATAGATATATAGATAGCTAGATAGAATTAGATATAGATAGACAGGTAGATAAATAGATAGATTCATAGATTGATGGATAGATAGATAGATTGATGGATAGATAGATAGATTGATTGATTGATAGATAGACAGACAGGTAGATAGGTAGATAGATAGATAGGTAGATAGCTAGATAGACAGATAGATAGACAGATAGATAGACAGATAGATAGATAGATAGATGGATAGATGGATAGATGGATAAATGGATAGATGGATAGATGGATAGATGGATAGATGGACGGATGGATGGATGGATGGATGGATAGATGGAAAGATGGATCGATGGATCGATGGATAGATGGGTGGATGGAGAGATAGACAGATAGACAGATAGACAGATAGACAGATAGATACACAGACAGACAGATAGATAGATAGACAGAGAGACAGATAGAAGGAAAGATAGATTCTGTAGACGGATAGTTAGATCAAAGCGATAGAAAGACAAGTGGATAGAAAGATAGATAGGCAGATAAGCGGTGGAAAGAAAGAAATATAGATAGATAGATAGATCGATCGATAGATAGATAGCTGCCAGGATAGAAAGGTGGGCAGCCCAACAATCCAACCAACCATTTGTCAATCCAGCAGTGGGGTCACTCTGCAATGCATGATTCAGAACAACCAAGCCCTCCTATAAGTTTCCTATTTTTGAAATTTCCGCAACCGCCTTGTGCGGTACTACTGGTATATTTAAGAAACACCCCAAATTACTGTTAGAGGCCACGCCTAAATTATATATAACTCCCATCTGTTGGCAGCATGCACCGCCCCAAACTAACTGCGCTCCATCAGGAGTTGCAGCCGTGGCTGCAGAATGTACTTCTGGAGCACCGTAAAAACCTGGAAATGCACTTGATCCAGCTGCACGAAGGCCTGGAACAGCAAGAGAATGCTGCAAAGGAAAAAAAGTACCAATAGAAGATTATATGGCTATATAACCCAAATATTTTTGTTTTTCAAATATTATATATATGATTATATATATGTATATATATGAACGATGATTTTCCTCGGGATATATCCATACTTTTGTGTTTCACCAAAGCAAATAACCCCAGCTTGGCGAGCTGCCTTGGAGGGGACGCTGGTTATATCCCACGTAATGTGGTAAACCCAATTGTTAACCGTCCCTGTTTCACCAGAAAATGGGCGATATACCATCCTTGGTTTGTCTATAATTCATTGATATTCACGCGTCAACCATTGTTCAAACCCCAATGTTGGTGTTTAATTTACAAATTCCCGTGTGTTTTTTAGTTCCCAACCAGCCCACGAATATTGTTGGTAAGAACTATATATTGAAACAAATCATGTCAAAAACATGTTATGAACCACCACATAAATTTCGGCAATCGAAAACATTTACAGCAAGGGGACGGACGGCGGTCCTCAAAAATTGTACAAACATGAGGTAAGCGATGGGACCTTCCCAAATAGTGCTACTCCCTTTGTAGGTTTTCATACCTGTGCATATACCTCATTTTCCGTTAAAAAAAATGGAAGGTCCAATAAATGGCAATACCAGTGGGATTTTATACTCAGATTTTACATATGGCATATACCAAAATGGATCGCAAAAACCGATGGCAATTTCCATGCCTCCCAGATTTGCCATCAACGATTTCTGTGCAAAAACGTCAACGGTGTCAACGAATGGTAGCGTTCCTTAATTTTTTTGGTGTCCTTTTAGGGATGTGATTTTTTTCATAGATCCCGGTATAATGTAGTAGAATATCCCATGACTAATGGTAACCATGATATAGTCAGAACATATCATATTATCTAAACACGATGATCCTATTATAATATCCTCATATATATATATATGAATTAGTTATATATATAACGATGATATAGAAACTATATGTCCCAGAACCCCCATGATTTCATCCACGACTCCCAGGGCAGCGCTACATCGTGGAGTTGATGAAGTCGGACTACGGGACGCATGAAGCGATCACGGTGCAGCCGGTGACCATGTCGGTGCGCAAGGCGGGGAGATGGAAGTGGTGATGTACCATACATGGTAAGGTATACCCGGCCTGGTAAACTAACATAGCTATGGAAAATCACAATTTTTAATGGGAAAATCCACTATTTCTATGGCAAATTTCAATAGCTATGTTAAATTACCAGAGGGTATAATGCCCTATGGATCCATGGCCACTGTCTGAGAAGGTACTTACCCTCTGGTTATGTCAAAATAGCTATTGAACATGACCATAGACATAGTGGATTTTCATAGCATGATGATTTTCCATAGTTATGTAAACGTTTACCAGAGGGTCTAGGAAATGTATTGGAAATTTGTAGGGGATGTCCTATGAACAATCATATCCTAGTTTACCTATTGAAAATGGCGTAGTTTACAACTGATTTACCTACAGACCTATTAAAATGGTGATTTTCCTAGTTATGTTAGTTTACCAAAGGGCAGTGGAGATGTATATGAAAGAAATCGGACATGGGGATATAGTTGGTAGATGTTGCCAGACTATTTTATAGTTGAGGAATGCATTGGGTGAAGCATACGGGAACGGAATATCGTGGAATGAACATATTGATGGGATATATGATATATGTGCCATGATGAAAGGTTGAATTGTATATCCATTTTGAGGTATGGACCTTCTCTATTATATAACAGGGACTTAATGTTACATTGCAAGTTTTCCTGATACGGGATGGAGGACCATAAAATCTAAAGCATACGCAGCATACACTGTGTTTCAACCCTGGCATATGTGGCAGATATGTATTTGAAGAAAACATGATAAATGGGCATGTAGTTGGTAGAATATGTTTGAGGTTTCCGGGACCTTCAGAAACTTCTAGCCTTGAGTTCTTCCACAAAGATGTGTGGGGGCTGCGGGGGCGGGAGGTAGTACCGTTCGGTGTGGGCTGCCTCATGAAAGTTGCTGCTACGCCGAGCGCGTTGCTTTGGATGATTTAGAAATATCAAGAGATCACATCAGTGAATACTTTTGTTGCAAATGTAGATACTATTAATAGACAGACAATGATAGATAGAGATAGGTGAATATATATATATACACACATATCATTTAGATATATAAACAACTTCGCAGACTCGGCCATTTAGGCGGAGATAACTCAGTGTTGAAGTTTTATTCGCAGATTGCGGCAACACTGCAGCCTTCAAATTCAGCGCGCTTCGTTGGAGATCTCGGGCGTTTCCTTGATCCCAAACCTCAGTTAATTGTTGTTAATTGTGAGCTCTGAGAAATGTAAGGTGGTTGTAGAGCCACTGAAATAACATAAAATCCGCTAAAATGTCATGACCTCAGCACTGCGATAGATCCTCAAGCTGAAATCATTGGGAAACACAAGGAACAATATGGAACAATGAACACTAAGAATTGTTGCCTGCATTCAAATTTTGATTTCCCGTTAACCAGGCTTCACCCTGGGTCGGCCCTGTGGGGATACTTTCGGAAATCGTTTTGATCCAGGGAACTGGTCCAAACAACGATTTTGGTTGGTATTGATGGTATTGCTGTGGCCAAATGTTTTGACTACCCACCATTCGAATGATACACACTGTGGGAAAGCTGAGATCGGGGCTTTGGCTATACGTGTTTTTTCCCCGTGGTTACATGTGGTTACCTTAGGGGGTTGGACTTCGCCACTTCTTAGCATCGTTTCGGAAAAATAACAATTATTCCAAGATTCCATGTTCTTCCAAGATGCACCGCCAGTGATTCTATCCGCTATCCCTTTTTGTGGTACCGCAGGGCGTCTCCTTCGAGGATGAGGACGACCGGGTAGAGCCAACTAATGGGGTGTCTGGTGTCTGGAAGTGGGGTATCCCTTCCCCCCAATGGGAATATCATTGGGAATATCACCAGTATCACCAACAAGATCGAAAATGGCTCTTCTTTGTAAAATGATGATCACCCTACCTGGCATGGGGTTGGGGCCTCACCTTCTCGAGGTGTTCATGGGGCCCCAATGGTAGGCGCCTCTGGACATCGACGTGCTGCTGAAGCATGACAGGATCGCCAAAGACGAAGAAAAGGTGGGCAAATCTGGGCATGTTTTGTGTGTTTTACTGGTTGAACTAGGTGGAACTCCCAAAAACTGCATTGTTTGATCCTTGTCCTTGAAAAGCCATTCAAAGATGTGGGAAGATATATGATTAAGTATGCTTATATAGCGTCATGTGTGTACTGCACATGTACATATATACTATACATACATATATATATATATATACATATATATATACATATATATATATATACACGTAACAACTATATATATATAGTTATATGTATATACATGACAAAATACAACACTACATATGTGCCAGACTAGCCGTGTTTGGACTGCCCCAGTCTCGAGGTGGAGCCTGTGGAGCCTGAGCCTGTGGAGCCTGTGGAAAGCGTTCACCACGAGGTGACCGACGGATGGATTCCTTGGATGGATGTTTCATATGGACACTGGACACTTGTTGTGGTAGAGCCAATGCCATATATATATATACCTATAGATGGTTAATATATATATATATATGTATGGATTTATGGGTTTTCAATGATATATCATACCCTATGGGAATTCGGTGTAGCCCAAAATTTCCTGACAAAGGTGAAACAGGTGGTTTTTTCTGATTCAAAATCCTGTGGTTTACCCTCTGGTAAACTAACATAGCTATTGAAAATGGCCATAGACATAGTGGATGTTCCCATTAATGCATGGTGATTTTCCAGTTCGTTATGTAAACGTTTACCAGAGGGTATATCTTAATGGGACCCTAATGGGATATGATGAATATCACCCAAAAAAATAATGGGATTCCAATGAAATCATATATCAGGGGGTGCTAAATGTCTTGTGAGGTTTTGAACATTATTGAAAAGGCATTGTTTTTGTTGGAGATGAAATAAAGCCCAATAGTTGAGTGGTGTTCAAACAGTAAATTTACCAATCCTTGTGGATTTGTTCGCATTGATTTTCGTCAAATGATGTGTATGTCTATATTCACTTAAGTTATATATATATTATATTGTAGAAGGTAGATGGTACAGATTTTAGTTGGAAGGTTTCAGTGCACTGAGTTTTTTCTGCTCAAACGGGCCCATGTTATTTTTATACTTGAAGCATCTTACAGTAAGATTACATGTCCATCTCCTCAAATCAACCATGCAACATAGTTGGATTTGGGGATGGTCAAATGCCAAAACAAAGACATGAAATGTGGATCCTACTTGATACCTATTTTTTTGGTCCTCGCAGGTAGATCCTACTAGATTCTTCAGCTGTGTTTTTCCTTTTTCCATGGGCAAATCCCTTATTTGATTTATGCACATCCTGGTGATGACATTCACATCTAAGGATCCATGTTGTGTGTTATGTCCTATGAATTCCCAATGATATGTTGCTTAAACCAAGATTTCTTTGAGCCGAAAACCCCCAAACAAATCCCGCACATCCAATGAATTGGTGTGAGGAATCCCACGACTTCTCCAAATTCATTTGTTAGTCCTGAGATTTCCTCATAGCCTCTGGTAAACAAAAATAACTATTGACAATCACCAGGTTTTTTATCGGTAAATCAACGAACTAACTGGGCCATTGTCTATATATAGCTATGTGAAATTACCAGGCCGGGTATCCCATCAAATCTACCATTGAATTCCCACACGTCCTCCAGACTGCCATTCTGGCTATTGTCCGTAGTAGATACCCAAATATCACATGCTTGGCTTTTCATGGTATGAAACTCTCCGGTAATTAACCAAAAAACACAGCCACGGACACCGACACACCCATCATGTTTTTTTTTGGGATTGCTCTTCTACAGGCCATGTTGATCCAGTTTCCGTGGCAAACTCTTAGATTACCAGAGATCAAAAACCAGGAATTCCCAGCTAGCGAGTTATGAAAGTTAGATATAAATAGTGGGAAATTTATAGCTATATGTAACTGAATGGTATATAATGAGTTACCCATTGACCATTTAATTATATCTGGGTAGATTATAGCTATATAATTACATACAGTATCTCATCTGTGTACAGCAAACTGAAGGTACTGTACCACACAAAGCCATATAACCTTGGAGGTATATCCACCACACAAATAGACAATTTATGTGGTAAGTAGCTCCAATTTAGGTTCCTGAAATAGTCACTGAAAATCCTATCAACCCAGATTTCTATTATTTTATTGCTGCTATACTATTATTAGTTATAATTATATACTATATTTTTTTAATGATGGTAATATGTTTTACACATATAAGATGATATCAGTTTTGTGATCATCATCTTTACAAAATTATCATTATTATTGTCAATAATTCCCATTAATTCCCATGACTTACAAATCCCAAATATTGTTCATATCATACTCATTCCCATGAGTCACTTCCAAACTTATCTTCTTTATTCTTTTTTAGTTTTTCTTTTTTAGTTTTTGTTAAACTTATCAAACTTATCTTCATGATACACCCAGATCCCATGAATCCCCATGATTCCTTAAGAGAAAGTGCAGGAGACCCAGCTGGAGATCGTTTCGGAAGACGACCTTCCACCGCCCCGGGCCAGTCCACGTGCCGTTGCTCGGCGCCCATGGAATCCTTGGGAAAATCCTGGAGAAATGGTTGGGAAGACGTGAAAACAAGGAACATGTCATAGGGAACTAGAGATTTCCTATAAATTACATGGGTATATATGGGAAACAAGTACAGTAGTTCCTATAAATCATGAACTTCTACACCCCCCCGGGCAGTACTACCCTAAGAGAATTTTAGATAGTAAATAAGAAAACGGGTTTGTATCCCCTGATTTTTCAAGAAATAATTAGTAGCCTAATAAGGAAAATGGGGTGTATACAAACCAAAACTAATTAGTAGCCTAATAAGAATTGATTTTGGCATTTTGTATAAAACTTATTAGCATGCTAATAAGGAAAAAAAATCCTTATTAGCATGCTAATAAGATTTATACAACTTTTTTTTTGTATAAAATCTTATTAGGGACCTAATAAGGATTGTTTCCCTTAATAGATGCCTAATAAGATTTTATACAAAATTGACGGGGTATGATTTTTGTATAAATTCTTATTAGGGTCCTAATAAGGATTTTGTCCCTTAATAGATGCCTAATAAGATTTTATACAAAATTGACGGGGTATGATTTTTGTATAAATTCTTATTAGGGTCCTAATAAGGAATTTTTGCCTTAATAGATGCCTAATAAGATTTTATACAAAATTGACGTGGATGATTTTTGTATAAAATCTTATTAGGGTCCTAATAAGATTTGTGGCCTTAATAGATAACTAATAAGATTTTATACAGAATTGATGGGTATGATTTGTGTATAACAGCTTATTAGGGTCCTAATAAGATTTTATACAACATTGTGGATATCAACTTTTTGGTTAATCCTTATTAGACACCTAACAATTTATTGAGTTTACCGCTCAATCTAAATAACGAGTTGGCTAAGAGTGTGGCCTGGGCAAAGTGGATCTGGGAGTGGGAGGATTCGAACCTCCTCGGCAGCCAAAAGCTAGCTTCATGCCGATGGCCACTAGACAACAGATCATGCCATCTGGGGGCACACTGGGCCACCATGACTGAGCATACAACGCTCCCATTTCCAATGATCCTTAATAGGCTACTAATAAGGGACTCATTCCCACCCTTGCCTATCTCATCCCTACTTCGTCCTTTCTTGTCCCACCCCCACCACCCTTCTCATCCCCCTCCGCCCATGGTATGCAATGCAGAAATTCTCTCACCCTCACCCAATACCCTTCCCCCCAATCTCTCACAAACTATATAATCCTCATGAATAGAATGCTAATAATGGAAATCATGATCACTCTCTCCCATTTAATTAGCACAAGACCACAGAGGTCTTGAACGCTTATCAGAACCCTTGGAAGCTCCAGTGAGGCAGCTTTGCATCCTACAACTGAATGACCTTTCAGCGAACGATCTTTCAGCTGTATGCTGCAAATCTCTGCTGCGCTCCATTTCACGGCGTCATGGTCGAGAAGGAAGTGCCCACACATTTCACCTCTACTTCACAGTGAGTTACAACTGTATCTCACTATGAAGTAGAAGAGAAAGATTGTTGGATAGTGTTGGGAGGCAATGAGCCTTACAAAGCAACGAATACCGTTGTGACGTGTGTGACATTAAGCAAAATGGAAGCAGAGACAACCAAATTGCCTGTGTGTGCAATCTCTGAGTAACCGGTAATATGGAATCCACGATTGCTTCTTATTAGAGGTCAATTAGGTTTTTTTCACTTTTTTTGTATCCCATGATACAGTGTTTGGATACAGAACCTTAATAGTGCCCTAATAAGTATTGGAATGGATAACATTCACAATTGTTCCTTATTAGAGGCCAATTAGGTTTTTTTGCACTCTTTTTGTATCCCATGATATATTGTTTGGATACAAAAACTTAATAGTTCCCTAATAAGTATTGGAAGGGATAACATCCACAATTGCTCCTTATTAGAGGCCAATTAGGTTGTTGTACTTTTTTTTGTATCCCATGATATAGTGTTTGGATACAAAAACTTATTAGTGCCCTAATAAGGATTTAAAGGCATAACAATTTGCCTTATTAGGTGTCTATTATTTTTTTGTATCCCCCAGGGCCGGGCTTGGATACAAAAACTTATTAGTGCCCTAATAAGGATTTGAAGGGATAACACTTTGCCTTATTAGGTGTCTATTAATTTTTTGTATCCACCAGGGCCGGGCTTGGATACAAAAACTTATTAGTATACTAATAAGGACGGAAATTGCCTTAATAGCATACTATTAAGTTTTTGTATGATTTGGGGATACAAATCCTTGTTAGGATACTAATAAGAAAAAAGGCACTTTTCTTAATGTAGACCGGATTAGTATACAAATAAGGAATTGGATACAAAATCACACGTAATGGATTTTAGGCCTTAATTACTATCTAATTTTAAGCTACTATTAGCATATTATTAGTATGCTAATAGGATACATTTAAGGGTTGTATCCCAGAATGAGATTTTTTCCTTATTAGCATACTAATAATATCTTATTAGTATGCTAATAAGGAATTTACAAATTGTCAAATCCTTAATATTTTTGTAGGGTAGTACGGCCCGGGGTAGTCTAGAAGCTCATGAATAAAGATTGAAACAAGCAGTAGTTCCTCTAAAGAATGCAATTGGAACGATATGGAATGATGGAAGTTTTGTTTTTGGGGAATCCCCTTAAATGGCCGGCAATTTTGTTTTGCAGTAAGGCAGTTGTTGGCATCCCCAGGAACTCTCCCATGATTTGAGATTTCATGATATATCCCATATGAATAGTCTGAGTAGTCATATAATTTCGTATGATGTCCATTGTTACAGTATGTATCATTGGATTTCTTTTAGGGAAAATCTTTACCGGACACATCCATGAAATATAGTTTATGGGAAAAACATTGTTTCCGGTTAAGATTTTCCCTTAAACCAACCCATTGAATGTCAATGTAGTCTTCAAAGATTATACTATACTGATCTTCAGATATCTTTAGAGCATGTAGGATGTATAATATCCATTCTGATGATATACTATTGTAGCATTGCTATATCCTTAGATGGTTTTAGGTTTATCCTCATTGAACATGGTGTTGTTTGGTGATTGAATTTTTAGTTGGTTAAATCCCATTAAGATCCCATGAAGTCCAGTGAAAACCCATTAAAGTCCCATTAAGCCCCAGCAGATCCCAAGTCCCATTAGAATCCCATCAAAATCCATTAAAATCCATTGAAACCCCCATTAAACCATGGTTTTGCTGGTTAAATTATGTTAAATTCCCATGAACTCCCATTGTGCCATTATGCTTGGTGCCACCATTCTACCGAGTTTCCGAAGCCGAAAGCTGCACGGAGAAGTTCTTCCACGTTGTTTCTGGGACGCAATGACTCGGGCATGGTTGGGAAATGGTTGGGAAAATGCCGCAAACATGGAGGTTTCAATGGGACAATTTCTATAAATGGGTGTTGTTTTATGGGGACATTTCTATAAATGGAGTTTTGAATGGGAAAACCCCTATAAATGGAGGTTGGAATGGGAGGACGTTTAAAGCTGGGAAAATAATCTATAAATAGTGGATTGTCCATTGCCATGTTTGATTGCCGGAGATCAAAATAGTGTTCATCTGTATTTTTTCCCCAAAACAGTTGTGACATGGTGGATCATCATCAGTTTCAGCAATAATCAACATATGTAGTTGAGAGTCTGGTGATTCGATATATGATTGCGCAATTCCAATCTTTATATAATATATATATATATATACATAAATAAAAATCAGGAAATAATAAGAAGCAAAAAAATGTAATATATATATAATGTTATCCATGTATCTATGTCCAAGCAGTGTTTTCTGTTTTACCATGAAGCAACCGCCTGTCCCGACGCCGCCCTCAGGAAGGACACGGATTTCGCCCTGCGGGATGTGCCTTTGTCCGACATATGGACACTGTCCGGTTGTGGTAGAGCCAATGCCATGAACTATCTCATGGGTATCACTGTATCACCATATATGTATATATATATATATATACCTATAGATGGGTAATACCCTGAGTATGACTCAGAATCTCAGAATGAATGCCTAATCATGTCGGACATATATGGAAATGTCATTCAATGTCACTTCTCTAATATGGAAGAGACTTGATGTAATCCACAATAGGATTATGATAGAATGTATGCATTATCAACCACATTCTAAGTATTTATTCGCAGCTCATTGATTGTAACTGTAACGTGCTCGTATGGTATTTGTGGGCACAGTTTTTACAGTTTTGTATTTCATTCTTGAACAACTGTTTTCCGAATACATACATATGCACACACTGATATGTATGCAGCTACTGTATGCATATATAATCACATGTATATATATATATATATATTGTACATTGATATCATATATCCATATATTTACGATAAATATAATATCTATGTACACACCTTGGAGTAAATCAATATAGACCCCTTAAATGTTCTTTTGTTAGTCAACAGTAATCTTCCAACACCCATCCATTGGGTTTATGCTGGAAACATGATCCGCTCGCTTCGGCAGGTGTGGGCCAAGCATCTCAGGTACAAGAGCGAACGCTCTCAGGCGCAGGAATCTATGGATGTTCCTATGGTGTCGCTGGGAGATAGACCAATCTTTTATAAATTACATATGGAGTTTCCTAAAATGGTGGTACCCCAATAGCTGGATGGTTTAGAATGGAAAATCATCCCAAAATGGATGATTTGGGGGTACCCCTATTTTAGGAAACTACAATGAAACTACCATATAATTCCCAGGAAACTATTTAAGCGAATACGTTGAAGATCCCAATTTATAGTGAATTACCAGGAAAATGACTTTTTAAAGCAACTATTTGGGAGTCTTGTTTCTAGTAAGTGAGGGATACCCCCCAATTTCTGACGGCAAACAGGTGATTTACCCATCAAGCATGGGATTTTGCACTGATTAAACCGTTGTTAGATGTTGTTAGCATAGCAATTCTGTACACAAAATGATGTATGGCTCAAAAAAAAAGGGGTACCGGTACCGATCAGCCCACTTTCCAGCACTGTGGAGGGTTGACAATTTTTCCGTCACAGTCATTAGTCGCCCGAGAATGATGTTTTTACCAACAAAAATATGGATATGTTTGCTATAAATGACAATCAATGTTCGGATGTAGCCGAAAAGATGGAGAGAGAAATCATTAGGAAAAACAGCAAGACATGGTGAATAAACATGAGGGTTCAGCGCCAGCGATGCTGTTGAAAGTCATTACTATGAGTTCTTGTGGCCCCGACAGCTTCCAGACAGCTGCTCCGGGCGCACTTGCCATCGACGGCATCAGCAGACCACATACATCATCATACATCCATATACCCAATCATGTTAAGCTTTCCCACACTACATGTTTGGGCAAGCCATTTAAATTTGAGCAGATTTTCGGCAGATTGAGTCGAGTATACTGGGTGGCGTTTTCCAGATGTTTTTGTCGAAAGATGTTTACTTCATGAGAAATGACAATCTATTTCCCAGGGACTTCTTTTTTAAGAAACAGATTCATGGTTCCATGATGTTCCATGTATCCCCAACTCTATAGCGGTTCTATATCCTGCGTGCTCCAGGTTTTTTAAATATGTCCCAACGTATTCATCAAACAAATGACCAAACTCTTGGCACACATATTCCATATGTGGAGCATAGGGGTATCCCATGAAACTTCGCATGACATGGTCTGCATTCGAATGGTGTATCCAATTTTTCGGTTGGTACATGTCCTATTTCTGGGATGTTTCACATCACCAATACAAGCACCTGTTGGAGAGGAAATGTCCAAAAGATAGTTGGGTGATGTAGAATAAATAGAACATGTATCAAGATTATCAAGCCCTGTATATGCTTTGGGTCTGTTTGGGGTATCCATTGTCACTTGTATTTTTTTTGGGAATGTCCCATTCAAACCAACATTGATCAGGGTTTTCCCATTAGAACCTCCATTTATAGTGGATTTCCATGATTTTCCCATGGAAAAAGCGCCACTTCAGCCCCTACTTGGCTAGGTGATGGCGCAGCCGTCGACCACCCATGAGACCTTCAGTGGAGGAGTGGCCAAATGAGCCACGAAAAATACATGTGTTGATGGGTTAGTAGCTGGGAGTTTATTATTATGCGATAGATAATTTACTATAATTAAGGCCATAATATGCCATAATAATCTGCAATAATAAGGTTTATGATGTTTCTTGCAGATTATGAACTCACCCATAATAGAATTATATATGGGAATGTGTCAGAATATGTCTTAACAAATCCACTCAAGATATGGTGGGAGTTCAACCAGTCAGAGACAGAATGGCATAGAGTTGATAAATGATGGGTGAATTTGTTGGGGGTCAGTCACCCAACCGGTACCCTCTGGTAAACTAACATAACTATGGAAAATCACCATTTTTAATGGGACAACTCACTATAAATTGCCATGTTCAATAGCTATGTTAGTTTACCAGAGGGTATCAGTTGCAAATTCTGAAGTGACCCATAGGAAAGCCTTGCCTAACCCGTATTTCATGGGATGGGATAGTTGGTGATCCCCAAGTCACCAAGGCTGTCTCATTTTTTTTACTAAGTCATGGTCTAATGACTTGGATGATTTTTTTTTTTTGTACCCCTCGTTTCAGGAACAATATCTTAGAATATACTAGACTATTTATGTGGACTATGTTAACTCGTTAGGGTGTTCAAATATGTTTTCGAGTGTTTGATATAAACCATATCAACGTTGGGTCAACACCACCAAGCAGCTATGAATCCAGCCACCTAAGTCTTGGAAAACATAAGTTACCCAGTAACGAACATCGGTAAATCAAGTATAAATGGACCAGTTTCCATGTAGCCATCTTAAAGTACCAGAGGGTATTGGTCATTTTCATGCTATGCCTTTTTTTGGTATGAAATTGACACCAATTTACTTGCTTCTTTTGAGCATCTAGAACCAACATGAACCAATGAAATCATCGATTTGGGTGGTTGGCGATTTGGCCCACATCCAAATGGGATTCTACAAGGATTGGTTCCGCATCAGTTGCGCCCATCAACATATCCCATTACTGTATGGTTTTGACCATTTCGATGTGAAATGTTCGACAATTATTAGTATATATAACTATGTAGTATAACTGTTAGTCACTTTTTCAATGGGAAATCTGATGATCATAAAACATGTATAACTATGTCACTGTTAGTCACTTTTTCAATGGGAAATCCGATGATCATTGCATTTTGGGGCTAGAAAAAATCGAGGGCTGAACCGGGCCCAGCCAGTGGGCCCAGTTCACTCGGTTCCAAATCACTGAGACATATCATACCCGAAGATGGATTAACTGAATCAACCAAAAGAATGGAAATGATAGATGATGAGATACTATCTTGTTGCGGGAAAAATCGTAAATCTTCGGCCTTGAATCTGGCAAGTGTTTTTCTTACTCAAATCTTACGCCCGTTGAGTTTGGGATGAGTTTCCCATGAAAAATCCCTGAAACTTCCATTGACTTCGGGAATGTCCCAGCCATGTTTTACCGATATACCCAGTCACCCCCAGATGCCCATGTCACCGCCCAACTCCCCGCAGGCGTCAGCATGAGGTTGCCCATGTCTGAATCTACTGACCGCTTGCCAGCTGTTTGACTCTCAGTGGATTTGGGTAAACCCGTTTCTATGACTCGCTGCGAGTCAAGGGCAGTTGATGGGCACTTGGACATACGGTAGATAGAGATAGATAGAAAGATAGATGGATGGATAGAGAGATGGATAGACGTACAGACAGATTGAAAGCTCAATATATAGATAGACAGACAGAAAGATTGTTAGATAGATGGATGGATGGATGGATGGATGGATGGATACATGGATACATGGATACATGGATACATGGATAGAGAACAAGGAAAGTCATGAACTTTTGGTTTTTGCACGTCCTTGCATTCAAGGGTAGGTGCTTCCAGCATTTTGTTTGCACAATGAAGACACGAAAAAATGACCCGCAGTCTTGCTAAACTGACCCAAAACAACCTCCCGACTTGAAGGACAGACAGGCAACAAACTGAAAAACGCGTGAACGCATCTTATACAACTTAGAAACATCATCATGCTTTAGATTTAGAAGATATATATATATACATCATATAAATCATCAATAAGTGGTCCATGGTGACCATGCCTTCGCTGTGTTTGTTAAAAAAAATATTGTCCAGGTTGGTGGGCGCTGCTCCATGATTGCCTATCCAGCTTCTTGGCTGATTATGTTTTTGTTTAATCATGTTGTTAATGGATAGTAATGACAATAGAAATACCATTATTGTCATATTACATGGTATTTGGTAATAATTATCAGCCAAAGCCAACAATATTGTATCAGCCATTATTGTTAATGATGATAGTAATGATAATTTGCTTCATTGTTACATAGTCTTACTATATCTTACTATCATCATTACCATACCATTGCTACCATTAATGCTACCATGAATGCGATGGAAATAGATGTTTACCCATCGTTTCGTCACAGTAGCTCCATGTTTTCCTATGTTTTCCTGGGTGATGAGTGATGAGTTGATCAACGTTGGCGATCCCAAGTGTTCATGGGTTTCTTCAGAGATTTTCTGAATGGGGGGTTGCACATCCATGTTCAAAATTATGTTTGATGGACATCAATTTTTATAGGGTAAACATGAATAGATGGTTTATATCATCATTTTTTTGGTGCGACCACATTCAAGCACCAAGTAGGTCTTAAATAGACATTTACAAGATTTTACCAGGTATTTTGCATTATTCTGCTGTGAAAATTTCAAGGTATTCTTGGGTGTTGATCCACAATTCACCATAGGGTTATTGATCCTTACTCTGAGGCACAAAAAAGTCGGGTCTGTTGGGACCTCTTCGGAGGGCTCCTGATCCTGTACGACCTCTTTGTGCACCTTGCCAGCATGGTGCCAACCCTGACCAGGTGACTTTGCAAATTTACGCTGGTTCGATATTTATATATGTATATATATATATATGTACATGTCATACATGTATATATCATATTATCATGTGGTTATTTAACGTAGCTATGGAAAATCACAATATCTATAATGTTTAATAGATGATTCATCATAAATCATCTATAAATGGGCCATGTTCCAGAAATTGGGGGTTATGACCATTCATATGGTAAATCCTTAGCGATAAACAAGCCCGCAGATTATCAGAAATTGTTGTTTTTCATGATTTAAATCATCCCATAAATATCATTTGAATCAACCACTGCCATTATCCCCGATTATCCCACTTGGATTAAGCATCAAAAAAACCATTACCAACCAATACAATACAATCCCATTTAAATTACCATTCACCATTTATAATGAATAACTAACCATTAATTAAATGTTATCCCATTTACCATCAATAATCATGAATCATCTCTCCATATCCCATTTAAGTCATGGGATCCTATTACCATTCATGGTTATTCTCCTTCCATGGCACTCTGCTCAGGATTCCTTTGAAGGTGCCCTGCCGCCGAGAGTGAGACGTTTAGGGTTGGTACATGCGTGGCATATGCATGTGTTGAAAACCAGTTTAGTTTTTACGAAAATTGGATTGAACTAACATGGATTTCTATAACCAGGTATAACCAGTTTAGTTTTGACTAAAAATTGGTTGAACATGATCTAACCATCAAAAAGAAGGGTACTTAACAAGATTGATGGGGGTGTACTCTCTGGCAATCTAATAGTTGGCGTTGGCGGCCTTGGCCATGAAAATAGGTATATAAATATTATAAATCATTTACGTTTATGAATCAATTTCTATGTAACATGTTGGATCAGAGGGTAATCATCATTGGCGCCGCACGTGGCACGACTTGGGGTGTAGTTAAACATTGGGAATACATGGATCTCGAGACATGAATTGGGATATGAGCCACCCTCTGGTTGCGAAACCGCAGGAAAGCACAAAGCCAACAAAAGAGATACATATTATATATATATACACTATATAGATATGCATTATATTATATATATATACATGTTATGATATATATAATATGATATGTACTAGTTTGTATATAATATTTTGAATATATAATATATATATATATATATATATTATATAAATTAGAAATTAATTATATGCAAATTATATATACATATACAGGATGTCCAAATTAATTGCCCAAGTTGTAAGTTGGTTTATAAACCCCATTAACCATAGTTGTCTATAGTTATATCTACCATACACCATAGTTAAGCCACTTATAAACCAACTTAGCTTTCTCGGCGGCCCCATCCTGTATTATATGTTATTATATTTTACTATGTCATATTATATTTTATTGTATTATATCTGATTATAGTAGATTATGATATATAGTATATGTTATTATATCATACTCTATATCATATTTTACTTTATTATATCATATTATATTTGATTTGATGTACAATATTATATGTTATATTATATTATATGGTTTATTATGTATCATATTTTATATTATATTATAGATTGTATTTAATAGTATGTTATATATTATATTGTATTATATATTAGATTATGTCTTATATACATACAATATTATATGATATGTTTTATATTATATTGTATATTATAGTATATATATATATATAATTTCATATTGTATTATATGTGAAATATTATATTTTATTCAGCATTACATTACATTACATTATATTATGTGTTTTAATAGTATACTCTTTTATATTATTTTATTTTAGATTGTATTATATAATATTTATTTTAGCCCATACCACATTACTAGATTTTATATTATGTTATATTTGTATATTATGTTTCATCATATCATATCATATCATATTATATTAAATTGTGTTACATCATATATTATGTGTATATGATCGTATTTTACTATATTATACCATATTGTGTGTGTGTTATTGTAGTATAATATATATTATATTGTATGTGTTATTTTATATTATGTTTTTATATTATAATATATCCTATCATATTACATTATAGTTTGTTATTTTATATTGTATATATATATTAGATATTGTATTGTGTATTGTATTTTGTATTTTATTCTATAGTATATATTATTTAATACATTATTTGATATTACATTTTATATGGCATTATTTACTATATATTACTAGATTTTATCATATAATAAATATTTATATATATATATTGTTATATTATGTTTTAATATTATATTTTTTACTATATCAGTTTTTCAAATATTAAATATTGTATATATATATATATTTATATTAGATATATTGTATATTTTAGTTTATATTAGATATATTGTATGTTTTGAAAATATATCATATATATATATTATATTATTGCATTATATGTTATATGTTTTTTTTTAAAAATAGATTATATATTGTGTATTATATATTTTTCTTTTTTTCAATATTCTTATTATATATATATATACACTTTGTATTTTATAAATTATATGTATTATCTATTTATCTATTTTTTATATATATTTATATTTAAGACCCAGAGGACGTCCAGATTTGTGTTCATGTTCATCAATAAACCATTCCATTTCATCCCCTTTGTCTATGTTATTCGAATCTCAGAGCTCAGCTTTGCACAGTAAACGCACGGTAGTTTGCACTGTGACATGGGCACAGGTCAAACCATTCAAATTGGTATATATAAATAAATATATATTATAGGTATAGATAACCCATCACATATATATATGTATATTATATATTATATTATAGGTTTCATCCTAAGGCAATCTCCATGTGTGGTAGATGATTTCTACATGTCTCCCCCTTTCGGGATGGTTTCAGCAGGTTTTTGAGTATCCAGAGACCGTTTTCACCGACACCATGGACAGATGGGAAGGGAAACCACAAAAACATGGGGCAAAAAATGACTCCAGATGAAATGGAGAGCTATATAAACAGATGAATTCTATAAACATTTTTTGTTTTGTTGTTCCCCACCTGCCAGGTGAGGGTTGTTAGATTTTATGTCAGTTGCCTCCTCCTCCTCCTCCTTCTCCTCCTTCTCCTCCTCCTTCTCCTCCTCCTCCTCCGCCTCCTCCTGCCTCGTCCTCCTCTCCTCCTCCTCCTCGTCCTCCTCGTCGTCCTCGTCGTCCTCGTCGTCCTTGCTCAACTGCGACCGCGATCCACAGTGTTCTCTGCCGGACCTCAACCACGACCATCCACGCCCAGTGTTCCCTGCCGGACCTCAACCACGACCATCCACGCCCAGTGTTCCCTGCCGGACCTCAACCACGACCATCCCCGCCCAGTGTTCCCTGCCGGACCTCAACCACGACCATCCACGCCCAGTGTTCCCTGCCGGACCTCAACCGCGAGTATCCACGCCAAGTGTTCCCTGCCGGACCTCATGTAGGAAGATATGGGACAAAGAATGTGCAGAAGAAAGTTAGAAAGAATGTCAGAAAGATATGCCAGAAGATATGCCAGATAGATATGCCAGAAGATATGCCAGATAGAATGCCAGATAGAATGCCAGAAGATAAGAATATATGCCAGATAGAATGCCAGAAGATTTGCCAGATAGAATGCCAGAAAATATGCCAGAAGATATGCCAGATAGATATGTCAGAAGATATGCCAGAAGATATGCCAGAAGATATGCCAGAAGATATGTCAGAATATATGCCAGAAGATATGTCAGATAGAATGCCAGAAAATATGTCAGAATATATGCCAGAAGATATGCCAGATAGAATGCCAGATTGAATGCCAGAAGATATGTCAGATAGAGTGCCAGAAGATATGCCAGATAGAATGACAGAAGATTTGCCAGATAGAATGCCAGAAGATATGCCAGAAGATATGCCAGATCATATGCCAGAAGATATGCCAGATAGAATGTCAAATAGAATGTCAGAAGATATGTCAGATAGAATGCCAGAAGATTTGCCAGTAAGAAAATGTATAAATGTCATGGTGGGGATCACACGAAGTAAAGTATTTTTTTTTTTTAATGTAGATATGTTCATAGATATGGTGTATTTTTGTTGGGATTTGATTTCCCAAACAATCTAGGCATATCTCCGGGATTCATTTGTTTCTGGGGGATACCGTACACCTGATTCTTCCTGATATGGCATGTGTGTGTGTTACCCTTTGGTAATTTAACATAGCTATTGAAAATGGCCATTTATAGTTGATTTACCCATTAAAGATGGTAATGTTCCATAGCTATGTTAGTTTACCAGAGGGTATTTCGTGTAATGAAATTGTGGTGCTATTTGGGTGTTGAATCACAATATCTACAGTCCGTCCATCTTCGGAACTCTTTGGAATGATTCTGAGGCACATTGGATCGAACACATTGTGATATACCCGCGTTGTTGAATCATACCATCCCAGTTTGTAGCCATACCAAACATGGTCCATGTTTGGCCCCTCCCCATCAAATTGCATGCACCTATTTCCAGCATCAATTCCGATTTCTTATTGATTTAGGGTCGGTAGTTCACAATACATACGCGACGAAGAACGTGATTTTGCTTTAGTGTGCGTGAAGATATCCCATAAAGTCCCATCATTCATCATCAGTTATACAAATATGATTATGTAACTATGTATATATCTTTATATTTGTTGGTTGGTTGATTTCTCAAATCCCATTGCTTGAGTGAACGGTTCGCCCTTTTCACCCTTGGAAAGATGCTGCAGGAACCTCATTCCATTCAAAACAAACATCTATGATTTCTTGTCAATTTCCCCTTAAACCTAAGCATGTGACGTTTCCATCCGGGTCCTGTAAATACCATTATAAAACAGTGATCCTGAAAATATCACATTCGCTCTTGGGTTCCCAATACGAGTTGATTAAATCACGTTAAAACCTCAGTTGCTGAAGATCCACATGGTTTGCGATGCCAAGTGCCATGTTTAACCCTTTCGTCTCCCCAATGTGTTGGTCGATGGTAACTTCTATACCCTCTGGTAAACTAACGTAACTACGGAAAATCACCATTTTTGATGGGAAAATTCACTATAAATGGCCATTTTCAATAGCTATGTTAGTTTGCCAGAGGGTAACTTGTTTGTTGGGATTCTATATCCCGTGATAGTCCCATAAAATGGTGGGTTTCCCCCAGGTTAGATGCCGTGATGAGATGGGGGGATCAGCTAATTGGTTTGGATTTGGCTGGATTTGCCCACTATTTGTCCAATTATAATACGGTTGCTAGCTAGTTAAGTAACTCCATAAGATATTTGACTATGATAACATTGCCTGAAAGTGGTTTTCTTTCAAACTTTGTAGAAGTTGCAGTTGCAGGACTGGATGACACTAATCTTCTGGACCCTGAACGTCCCCGCAACGCTGACGGTGGGCTACACTTACCGCGGCGAAACCATCATGAGACCGCGCCTTACCCAGCTGGACGGGGGGAGGTTTTGCTGGGTGATGTTTGAATTGTGGGATTCAGCCAATGCCATAAACATAAACACACTCGCAGCGGACGGATCCATCTGCTCAGCTTGCATTGACAAATGGGGATGGGTTGAATCCCAGCCATAA